GAAGGAGGCAGGGGGGAGAGGCCAAGGTAAGAGGCAAGGCAGGGAGAGGAATGAAGAGGCAGAGGAGGAAAGGGGAAGAGGCAGGGGGGGGGAGAGGAAGTGAAGAGGCAGGAGGAGAGGGAATAGGAGGAAGGGGAAGAGGCAGGGGGGGAGAGGAAGGTGAAGAGGCAAGGAGGGAGAGGGAATAGGAGGAAGGGGAAGAGGCAGGGGGGGAGAGGAAGGTGAAGAGGCAAGGAGTGGGGATGAATAGGGAGGAAGGGGAAAATTGCAGGGGGGGTGGGAGAGGAAGGTGAAGAGGCAAGGAGGAGTGGGAATAGAGAATGGAGAGGAAGAGAAGGAGGAGAAGGGGAAGAGGGAAATAAATAAGGAGAGAGGGGAGAGGAAGGAAGGGAAGGAAGTAAGATAGAGGGAGGAAAGGAGGAAAGAGGGCAAGGGCAAGGAAGGGAGGGGTTGTCGTCGGCCGTGGATCAAGCGAGCGAGCGGAAGACACGTGTCGGCGCCCGCGAAAAGGTGACATCGGCGGCGACGGCGGGCGGAGGAAGGACGACGCGGCGGGGAAAGGGCGGAATCCGATCTGAATATTTCACTCGCCCTCCCTCCCTCCTCCCTCCCTCCCTCCTCTCCGCCTTCCTTCCTCCTTCTCTCTCTTCTCTCTCTCTCTCTCTCTCTCTCTCTCTCATCTCTCTCTCTCTTCTCTCTCCTCTCTCTCTCTCTCTCTCTCTCTCTCTCTCTCTCTCTCTCTCTCTCTTCTCTCTCTCTCTCTCTCTCTCTCTCTCTCTCTATCTCTCTCTTCTCTCTCTTTCTCTTTCTCTTTTCTTCTCTCTCTCTCTCTCTCTCTCTCTCTCTCTCTCTCTCTCTCTCTCTCTCTCTCTCTCTCTCTCTCATCTCTCTCCCTCTCTCCTCTCCCTCTCCCTTTCCCTCCTCTCTCCTCCTTTCTCTCTCCTCTTCTCTCCCCTCTCTCTCTCTCTCTCTCTCTCTCTCTCTTCTTCTCTCTCCTCTCTCTCTCTCTCTCTCTCTCTCTCTCTCTCTCTCTCTCTCTCTCTCTTCTTCTCATCATCTCTCTCTTCTCTCTCTCTCTCTCTCTCTCTCTCTCTCTCTCTCTCTCTCCTCTCTCTCTCTCTCTCTCTCTCTCTCTCTCTTCTCACTCTCTCTCTCTCTCTCTCTGGCTCTCTCTCTTCTCTCTCTCTCTCTCTCTCTCTCTCTCTCTCTCTCTCTCTCTCTCTCTCTCTCTCTCTCTCTCTCTCTCTCTCTCTCTCTCTCTTTCTCTCGCTCTCGCTCTCGCTCTCTCTTCTCCCCCCCCTCCTCCTTCCCTGCAAATTCGAGAGATCACTTTGTTAATGTTGAGGGAAGGGTTACAGATCATATTCAAGCAGCCCATTTGTCTGTCTGTCTGTTGTGCGTCGGTCTGTTTGTCTGTAAGTTCGCCTGCATGTTTGTGCGTTTGTCTGTCTTTCCGTCTGCCTGCCTGCAACTCTTAGTTTGTTAGTATGGTCTTCTGTCTGCCCGTCTGTAATTCTGCATACAAAGCCGTGAGTGTGTGCGTCTGTCTGTTCGTCTGTTCGTCTGCCTCGGTGCTCGCTGTGTGTGCGCGCGGCCGTCGACGAGCGCGGCCGTGTGTGTTCTCGCGTGGGCAGCGTCGAGGTTGGCTTGGACCGGCAGTAATGGCGGCAGAAATGGCGGCGTTTGTCATCGCTTCCCGTTCCTTCTCGGCCAACTAATCACGGCATCGATCTGCGGCCCTAACGAGGTAATGGGAGCCTCAAGTATTGCTCCTCCCGCGAGCCTGGGAGTCGATGCCCCCCCCCCCCTCCCCCCCCCCCTCCTCCCCTCCCCTCTTCCCTTTCCCTCCTCCCCCTCCCTCTTCCCCTTCCCTCTCCCCCTCCCCTCTTCCCTTTCCCTCCTCCCCCTCCCCTCTTCCCCTTCCCTTTCCTTTCTCCCATCCCTCTTCGCCTCTCTTCTCTTTTCTCCCTTCCCCTTCTTATTCGCTTTTCTTCCCTTCCCTACCCATTCCCTTTCTTTCTTCTTCCTTCCCCGTCTGCTTTCTCCCTTCGCCCGGTTCCTTCTCTTTACCTTTCCCTTCCTCTTCTTTCATTCGCCCTTATTACCCTCTCTTTTCTTCCATCTTTCTTTCCTTCCCAAATTTCTTTTTCCTTCTTCATATCTTCTCCTTTTCTACCTTCTTCCTTCCCTTCCCACTCCTCTCTTCTTTCTTCTTTCTTTCCTCCCCCCTTCCCTTAGCTCCGCTTTTCCTTTCTCTTCCCCTCCTTTCTTTCCATTTTTCCTTCCGTTTACTTACTTCCCTTCTTCTATTCCTTTCCTCTCTTCCCCAAGGAAGGAGGGGGGAGGGAGAGGAGTCATAGGAGAGGGCAAGAGAAACAGGTAGAAAGAGGGCGAAGGGAAAAGGAGGGAGGGAGAGGGAGAGAAGGAAGAAAGAAATGGGGGAAGAGCGCGGAAGGAGAGGGAGTGCAGGGAGAAGAGAAGGCGAGGGAAGAGAGCGCGGAAGGGAGAGGGAGTGCAGGAGGGAGAAGGAAGAGAGCGCGGAAGGGAGAAGGGAGTGCGAGGGAGAGAGCGCGGAAGGGAGAGGGAGTGCAGGAGGAAGAGAAGGCGAGGGAGAGAGCGCGGAAGGGAGAGGGAGTGCAGGAGGAAGAGAGCGCGGAAGGGAGAAGGAGTGCAGGAGGTGCGGAAGGGAAGGGAGTGCAGGAGGGAGAGAGCGCGGAAGGGAGAGGGAGTGCAGGAGGAAGAGAAGCGAGGGAGAGGAGCGCGGAAGGGAGAGGGAGTGCAGGAGGAAGAGAAAGCGAGGGAGAGAGCGCGGAAGGGAGAGGGAGTGCAGGAGGAAGAGAAGGCGAGGGAGAGAGCGCGGAAGGGAGAGGGAGTGCAGGAGGAAGAGAAAGCGAGGGAGAGAGCGCGGAAGGGAGAGGGAGTGCAGGAGGAAGAGAAGGCGAGGGAGAGAGCGCGGAAGGAGAGGGGAGTGCAGGAGGAAGAGAAGGCGAGGGGAGAGAGGCGGAAGGGAGAGGGAGTGCAGGAGGAGGAGAGCGCGGAAGGGAGAGGAAGGAGGGAGAGAAGGAATGGAGAGAGCGCGGAAGGGAGAGGAGTTGCAGGAGGAAGAGAAGGCGAGGGAGAGAGCGGAGGGAGAGGAGTGCAGGAGGAAGCGCGGAGAGAGGCGGAAGGAGGGAGTGCAGGGAGAGAAAAAGCGAGATGGGAAGGAGAGGAGTGCAGGAGGAAGAGAAAGCCGGAGGGAGGCGCGGAAGGGAGAGGGAGGAGCAGGAGAAGAGAAAGCGAGAGAGAGCGCGGAAGGAGAGGGAGTGCGGAAGGGAGAGGGAGTGCAGGAGGAGAGAGCGCGGAATGGAGAGGGAGTGCGCGCGGAAGGAGAGGGAGGGGAGTAAGGAGGAGAGAAGGCGAGGGAGAGAGCGCGCGCGGCCGAGGAGCAAGGGCGAGGGGGCCGGGGGCGCCGCACAAAGCCTCTCCACAGGGCCCTTCTGCAGGACTCTAGCCTTGAGCGAGCTTCTCTTGCCGCGCCCTCACGCAGCCCGGCGCCCGTGGACACCCGGGGCCGCACAAGTCCCCTAATTAGGATGTGTCTCACACTAGACCCATAACAAGCGCGCCTCACACACAAGAAAATTTCGCCGTGGAAAGTTCATACCCAGATGCATCTAGAGCTTCCCTATTCCCTTCCTCTTCCCCTGTCTCTCGGCCCGCTCTTCCTCCTCTTTCTTCTGTTCTTTATTTCTTTTTCCTTTTATCACTGTTCTTCTCTTATTTCCCTAGTTCCTTCTTCGCCATCAATTGCGTCATCATCATCTTTTATATCCCTTCTCCGCTTCCTCCTCCGCCTTCCTCTTCTTCCCTTTCTCCATCTCTCTTTCTCCGCCATCTTGCGCTTTTCTTAATTTTTGTGATCTTGTTTTCGTCGATGTTCTTCCTCCGGCGCTAAAACACTCCAAGTCCCGGATTCCAGCTAGGATGCAAAAGTGATTTATCAGTTTGTTGAAAAAAGATTTACGCGAATATTGCACATTGCAAAGCCCGGCGTTTCCCACGGTAAGGGAGGAGGGAAAAGGAGGGAGAGAGAGAGGCGAAGTGGTGATGGTGAGGGAGATCTAGGGAGTTAGACAGCCAGATTGAAAGAGACAGACGGATGGAAAGGACGAGACAGAAGCCGTGGGCTGAGGCACGAGGCGAGGGAGGCGAGAAGGCCGAGGGCGAGGGAGCCAAGGGCGAGGGAGGCGAGGGCGGCCCGTCCGAGGTCGTGGAGTCGTGTTCCCTCGCGGCCTCGGGTCCTGAGCGGCCGTGCCCTCCGCCGGCGCTGGCTCCGCCCCGTTGTTTGCCAATGCCTTCCGCCGCCGTGTTTGTCCGGCGCTTTGTGTCCGGCGGAGATGGAGGCGATAGTGGCGCTCGAGTGCGAGGGCGCGAGGGCGGGCGAGAGGCGTGTCTGCGGGATGTGAGAACGGGCGTGCGGGCGGCGGGGCGAGGGGACGCCAATGCATCCGGACTCTTTTTATGTCCAATAGAGAGCGCACGTTTCCAGCACTCGAATGCGCCGGGTGCCACGCTTACGGCCGGCGAGATAAGGCTCCCTTGTCGCCGGCCTGGCATCATCGCCGACGCCGGGGGAGCTGGCTGGCGGAGGGGGGGGGCTGTTAGCATAATCAGTGTGGGGCATAATCGTCGTTAGGAATGATGCCTGGATATGCACGTGAATGCGAGTGCTTATGAAAGAAGAAATAACCTGTGTACTTTCCTTAACTTTTCTTTTGAACAGGGTCCGTCTATTGTCCAAAGTGAGTCGCATATTTTAAATGATTTAGTCTGCAGAATTCAATCGGTATAGAGTAAACCTCAACCGTAGGGCCCTCTATTACGAGGGATAAAACCGTCACACATTTTTCGCTGCTTTTGCAATGTCGAGTGGAAAGGCTGCATAATAGAGCTCTATTTGATATAAAATTCAGGTTTTCCTTATTAATATTTTCCCCCAGAACTAGCACTTTGTGAATTGTTATTATTTTTCGCCAATCTTTGTTACGAGGCGAACTGCGCGAAACCGAGGCCTAATTTCCGTCCGTGTGTGATGGGAAACGGGGGTTGCAAAGACCGTAGATTGTGCCGCATCATCTCCCGAAAATCATGGTCGTTTTTCGTCCCGAGTCCAGTTTTTTTGAATGTACATTTTCTTCTCGCTTCCATGAAGTTTGAATTCGTTTTGTTTTTTTCTTTTGTCATTTCTTTTTTTCAATGTTCATAATGCCAGTGTAAAGAACGGTGAGGTTAAGAGCGACTTTGTGAGTAGAACTGAATATATTTTTTGATGTATGCTGAGGGTATGGGGAGGCTCTCCCATACCCTTAGTAATCATGAATAAAGGACGAATGAAGAAGTGAAAGAGGAGAGAGAAGAAAAGGTGGAAAAAAGTAGTGTGTGTGTGCGCGTATTTATGTAGAAATACGTACGCATGTAAACACGCACAGCAGGAAAGACAAAGGGAAAACTATTCGGCACGCAAGACTAAAAACAAATCTCTACGTGACGCAGCATTCGAGGCGAAACAAGCGATGTGAAAAGGCGAAGAGGCGCGGAGGGGATGCCACGCCGGGAGAAGCGGACTCGAACTCGGCCGCGAGAAGGTCGCTCTGCAGGGCCAAGGTAGTGCCACGCGCGGAAAAGGGAGGGGGGATGATGATAAGAAAAAGGAGGAAGGGGGAGGAAGAGGGGAAGGAGGAGGAGGAGGGGAAGAGGAAGAAGGAGAGGGGGGGAGGAAAATGAGAAGAAAGAAAAAAAGAGGAATATGAGGAAGAAGAAGAGGAAACAGGAACGAAAACTAGAACTAGAAAAGGAAGATGAAAAAGGAGGAGAAAAGAAGAATAGAGGAATAAAGGTAAGAAGAGGAAGAAGGAAGAAGAGGAAGGAGAGGCGAAGGCATGGGAGCGGAGGGCCGGCAGGCGGCGACCGGCTCGGCGCGGTGCCCCAGAAAGGGAATTAGTGCGGAGTTATGAAGGCTGGGGTCGGGAGGGGAGCGGGGGTCGGGAGGGGGAAGGCCGGGGTCAAGAAGGAAAAGTCCGATCAGATAAGGGCTGAGAAGGGAGTTTCCGGCAGAAATTATGAGCGCATAAAGTGGGGCGAGACTGACAATGAATTGCGGGTTTGTAAGTAAGCAGAGGAGGAGAGCATGAGTGGCGCGGGGGGGGGGGGGTGAACGGACGTGTTGCAGGTACAGGCTAGGCGGGGGGGGGGGGCGTTGCAGGCGCATGCAGGCGTGGAGGCTCACTCCAGCCTGCACCCGCGTCGTCCCGGCCATAGTTGGAGGGCAGCACGGGCAAGGATTCGTGCAGGATTGAGGGAGGCGCGGAGGCCGCTGCAGGCTGCGACAGGCACAAAGGGCCGGCCGAGCTGTGCTGAGACGGTCCCGGGGCGCAGGCTGTTTGTCAGAAGGGGCGGATGCGGCGCAGGCTGGCGGGCGAAGGTCGTGTGCAGGCACGGAGGGGCGGTGCAGGTTATGTGCAGGCCGGGAGCCCATTAATTGGCGGCCTCACCCTCGCCCCGGTGTTTGCAATGGAGCTGGAGTTGCTCGTATTGCACACGGCCGAGCGCTCGCTCCCACAGCCTTTCGCTCGGGCGGGCGGCGGCGGCGCGCGGGCGTCCGATCCTGAATGAAACGTCCGCCGGCGGCCGCCCCGGCGCTGCGGTGCATCCACTTGTGGCTCTGCCAGTCGGCTATCGATCCATACCGAAAAGTTTCGTTCAAAGTTATCCCGGGCCTCAAGGGCGGCGAACGATGCACTCCAACGGTCGATCGGCCGCACGCACCTGATAATCAGCCGAGCAGTGCTGATAGCGGCTGGTGATGGTGGCTTTTAGCGGCGGTTGTTGATCCTCGGCGCTGCTGTCGCCGCCCCTCCGCCCCCCGCCCCCCCCCCCGCTCCCCTCCCCTCCCCCCCCCGCCCCCAGCCCGTGCTCCGCCTCCGTCTTCCCTCCTGCTGCCCGTCTCGCCGCCCCTTCCCTGCCCGCGCCCCCCTCCCCCGCCGCCCACCTCCTCCTTTCCTCTCTCCTCCTGGCCGCCCACCCCTCCCTCCTCCGACCCGCCGGCCGCCCACCCTTCCTCCCCCTACCTGGCCGCCCCACCCCGCTTCCCGTCTTCCCGGCTCCTGTACTTTCCTGTCCCGACCTTTCCGCCTCGGACACGCCCCCGTCACGCCCGGAATCTGCTGCCCGCCGCCCTCGCCGCCCGCGCTCTGGCCGGACTCTCGCGGGGGGGGGGACTTTTCTCGTCTTCCTTTTCCGTTTCGCCTTGGTTTTTAGCCCCGGATTTTGCCGCTCGTCTGCCCCTGGCTCATCTCTCTCTCTCTCTCTCTCTCTCTCTCTCTCTCTCTCTCTCTCTCTCTCTCTCTCTCTCTCTCTCTCTCTCTCTCTCTCTCGTGTTCTACATATTTTTTTCTCCCTCCCTCCTTCCTCCCATCCCTTCCTCATTTTCTTATCCTTCCTACCCTCCCCTGCACTCTGCTTCTCTCCCCTCTCTCCCCCTCTCCCTCTCCCTCCTGCTTCTCACTCTCCCACAGCTGGTCCCGCGCCGTCATTTTCTACACCCATCATTTTCCTCCCCGTGTCATTTCTCGCTCCTACTCTCACCCTCCCTCCTCTCCCCTCTCCTCCCCTTCCCTCCCCTCCCTCACTGCCCGTCCTCCCACCCCTCTCTTCCCTGAACCTTGCCTCGCCTCTTCCCCCCACCCCCTGCCCGTCTCTCTCTCTCTCTCTCTCTCTCTCTCTCTCTCTCTCTCTCTCTCTCTCTCTCTCTCTCTCTCTCTCTCTCTCTCTCTCTCTCTCTCTCATCCCTCCCACCATCCATCCCTCCCCCCTTCTCCTCCTCCCCGCATGCACACACACAGCGCTTTGACACGTCCTCCCCCTCCCTCCCCCAACCAACCCCTGCCCACTGCAATCACCTCAGCCACAATCACTCACGGGCCGCAATCACCACCACGCACACTGGCAGGCACACGCACGCACGCACGCAATCCAAGCACGCACGTACGCACGCACACCTGCACAAGAAAGCTCTGGGCCAGAAGACGACAGCTTTAATGCTGACGAGGGTTACCACAGCGAGGGCGCCGACGGAGAGAGGGGAGGGGGAGGAGGAAGGGGTGGGGGGAGGGAAGGAGAAGGGAGGTGAGGGGAGGGGAGGAGGAAGGGAGGGGAGGGGAGGGGGAGCAGGAGAGGAAGGAGGGAAGAATGCGGGCCAGTGGGATGGGGGAAGGGAGGAAACGAGAAGGAAATTGTGGGAAAGGAAGGGAGGAAGGATGGGAAAGAGAAGGAAAATGGAGGAGGGGTGTTTTAGGGGAGGGAAAGGGAGGAAAGGAAAGGAGGAGGAAGAAGATAAGGGAAGAGGTTAAGGAGGGAAGAAGGAGGTGGGGAGGGAAGGGAGAAAGGGAATGTCGTGTGTGTCACGTTCACGTGGTCGAAACGAGACTAAGCAGGGAGAGAGGAAGGGGGTGGGTGTAGAAGTGGAGGGAGAGGGGGAGGGGCGGAGTCTCGGTTATATAGCTGATCCGTGGTGTCATACGCCAGGAGGGGGTGAGGGAGGGGGAGGGTGACAGTGGGGGGAGGTAATCCTGAATAGGAAGGAGTGAAGAGACGGGACGGGGGGTGGGGGAGGGAGGGGGAAGGAGGCGGACCCGGTGAGGGCATATTTTTTAGGTTTTAGGGCGTTCGGCTCCACCCCCGTCAGCTTCTTGACATTTACATGGGAACCCGCACTTTTGGCCCATTTTTTACAGCCTGCGCGCACCCTTTGTTCTGCAATGTACATCCAGGGTGTGCTCTGTGCCGTGCTTCGTGATGTACCCTGCAATGTACTCTCCAACACGTCGGACATCAATACCAGTGCGAGTTCAAGAGATATGTTCACCTGCACGGAGCCACGGGCGCATCGGGGCTGGAGATGACTTCGGGCGCAGAAAGGAGCCACAGCGACCCACATCCGCGAATCCTGGCTCTTGTGCCAGGCGCCTCTCTCTCTCTCTCTCTCTCTCTCTCTCTCTCTCTCTCTCTCTCTCTCTCTCTCTCTCTCTCTCTCTCTCTCTCTCTCTCTCTCTCTCTCTCTCTCCCATTTCTCCCTCCCTTCACTACACCCCTCCTCCCCCCGTTCCCTATCAACCAACCTTCCCCACCCTTACTCCTCCCTCCTCTCTCTTTCTCCCTCTTTATCTCTCTGTCTCTCTTCCGCCTTCGTATTTTCGCGCGCACCGTCTTAATCCTCAGCGTGGGTTCTTCGCTCCCCTTCGCCATTCATGGGCCATTGGTGTGCGGGAGAGGCCGTTCCGTGTGGAAAATTCAGGGAGGGTTGGCAGATGGCGCAGAGTGGAGGGAGGGAGGGAGAGGAGGGCGTGGGGAGGGGAGAGAGGGAGGAGGGGAAGGGAAGAGGTAGGGAGGGAGGGGAATGAGGGAGGACCGCCATCCCTCTGTGGTCCTGGTGCAGAGAAGCGGGAATGTTGGAAGGGAAGAAGCCCCATTCCTGGTCCCGCTGCTCATCCGTGGAGGGGAGGGGAGGGGAGGGGATGGGATGGGATAGGTGGAGCGACGAGGGGGAGGGAAAAATATTGGCGGGAAATTCTGGTTTCTCATTTGCAAGTAAAATGGAAGGGAAGTCGTCCAGAAACCCAGGTTGGAAAGTTTGCTAATCTAGATACCAAGAATGCGAGTGCGTGTTCCATGTGTTTATGGGAGCGACGAGAGTCCAGGCGAAGGTAGGCATGTGGAAAACGAAGTGTTGCTGGAAATTTCAACGAGGCGGGAAAAGTTTGGGAAGCGGAGGCTGTGCTGTTCATTCTGCCACTCACTTTTTCCGCCCCTCCCCTCTTCCCTCCCTCCCCTCCCTCCCCGCCACCCGGTCGGCGTTTCCAGGCTCGTCCCAAACGCTGGCTTTAGCTCCGGCTTAAGCTTTGTCCCGATGGCTTTGGCGGGGGCGGGGGCGCCCCCCTCCTGCTCTTCGCTGTCTTCCATATTGGATGGCGATGAGACGCCAAATGGATTCGGTTATCGAAGGGCGAGGCGAGAGCTGCGGCATCGACTGCTAATGGATAGTTTCCCTTAAAAATTCCGCGCCGCCTGAATTATTAAAGATATACTTTAGGGCGGATCGGAAGGCGAGCGGATCGCCATGAGTTACAAGCCCGGGAAAGAATGCCCGATATTGAACCTCGTTTGGCCGACGTCAGACGAGGCGGGCGGCGAGGGCGCTTACCTGAAGCCTAATTGGCAAACAGTTCCGCATTCGCCCCCTCCCCCCCGCCCCTCCCCCGCCCCTCCCGTCGGTGCCTCTCGGGCCGACTGCGACGACGCTCGCTAAGTGACTCCTCAGGAACGAATGCAATGCAAATGCTCGGTGCAATTTTCAATACGCGGTCGCCCGTCCTCTCTCTCTCGCGGCGGAGCCTCGGACGCGGGCGGGGCGAGCGTGACAGCCGGGTTTATGGGCGTCGGGAAGCACGCACATGCGGCGACCCTGTGTGTGTGTGTGTGTGTGTGTGTGTGTGTGTGTGTGTGTGTGTGTGTGTGTGTGTGTGTGTCTTTGTCTTTCTATATATACTTCTGAATATACGTATGCCTGTATGTATGAATGTATATAGGCAAGTCTGCATTAATGAATGTACGTATATAAGTGAGTATAAGTATATAAACATGTATGTATTCGCGCCCCTGAATGGCGGCGGCGAGGACGCGCTGGCAGTGAGTCCTGTCACCGCATGTTATTTGTCCAACTAAGCTCCTAATGCGCGCAGGAAAGGAGAGAGGGCCGTTCGTGCACGTGTGTGCGTGTGATTATGCATGCATGTATGTTTCTGTACGTGAATGTTTGGACGCGCGTGTCTGCATTTCTGCGTCTGCTTATGCGTTTGTGTATATTATTGTGTGTATGCATGTGCAAGTGTGCATCTGCAGTTGTGTGTATGTGTACGTGTATATGCGAGTGCATTTTCAATAGTGTCTCTACTTGTGCGTTTATGCGTGTGCCCGTGTATGTGCGTGTGTCCGTGTGTGTATATAGAATGGCCGTGTGCCACATGACCGTACCGAGAGGCAGCATTACCCGAGGCAGAGCACTCAGATGACACGTGATGGTCAATATGCCGAGAATTTATACGGCAATTTGTTCACTTGGTTGCGTGTGGCGGTATGTGGTAAGGCATCTAAATAAATCTTAAGCTCTCTCGCTCCCTTCCTCCCTTGCCCTCCCTCTCCCTCCCGACGCACCTTTCCACCTCTCCCTCCCTCCCTCCTCCCTCTCTCTACCTCCCCACACACCTTCCCCCCTCTCTATCCCTCCCCGCATACCTTCCCACCTCTCCCTCCTCCTCTCCTCTCTCTCCCTGCTTCCCCTCCCTCCCACACCACCACCTCGTTTCTCCCTCTTCTCTCCTCCCTCTTTCTTTCTTTCTCTCCTCCCTCCTTCCCTCCCGTCGCTGCCCACCTCCCTCCCTCCTCGCCCCTCGTCCCTCCACCCTCTCCTCCTTCCACCTC